ACACACACCGACACACAAACACACAAATACACACACCAGATAAAGACTAATACTCTGTCCAGGAACTGTCTGGTCCTGCATCCTGTACTACCAGCTGCTGCCCTCCAGTCATACTGAGACAGACAGGCAGACAGACAGGCAGACAGACAGACAGACAGACAGACAGACATCTAGATAGATAAAACACTGTTCATGATTTATTATTTATTATCTAGTCTCTTCCCTCCTCCTCTTTCGGTGTGTGTCACTATTTTGTCTACTGTCTCCCGCGGGCAGACCTCACATGACATTTCAGAATTTCTGATTTCCTGAACACACCTCCACACGCTCAGGCACGCACTCACGCTCAGGCACAAACTCCTGACCCTAAAGACGATGCTCTTGTGTAAGAGACAGGTGGATACTGGAGGAACGAGGGAGAGCAACTGAGGACAGAGAAGAAGAAACTACACAGGAGAGGACAACACTGGGACAAGCTGTTGTCTGATATTTGAGCTGTGGCAGTTTTGGAGTTATGATTGACTAATTATATGGGAAATGATGGAGAGACACATGCACTCTGTGATCGATCTGAAAAGGACAAGTCTTCCTACATAGGACTCACACATACATACACTTATACGCTTAAACCTACACAGACTGCAGATGCTTTTGAAAAGCATCAGGTAAGTGATTTAAAGATTATTTTAAGATGGTCAAACTGTAAATAATCTGCTATATTTGGACATGATGATAATTGGAATAATTTGTCTGTAAGATATGATGTTGGAAATGTTGTGGATGGTGCATACGAAGTGGTTTGATACTCGTAACCACAGTCAAAAGTGGCCCAAACAATAGAGGGTCAGGAAAGACAAAGCTGTTCTTGAAATGTCTCAACTGTGTTGTGAGTTCATAGACAGAAAGTCAGACTGTGGGAACTTGAGGTTAGGGATCACATTAAGAGTATGGCTTCCATGTAGCCTCAAGGCTTCAACAGGTACTGTTTCTTCTTCTGACCTGACTCAGAGCATATAATGATCACATCCTAGCAGATAAATACAAATATAGTTTCACATATATGATCAGATGGTTTAGACTCTCAAACAACACTGTATTTTTTATTTATAATAAAACTTATTTTTTTTTTACCCAGAGACTACCCACAAAATCCACATTATGTTAATTATTAATAATGTTTGTTTCTCTTGGATCAAAGTAAACAATTCTCTCCAGCTCTGTGTGGGAACAAAGTGACACTGCGGTGGAGTGAATAATGATATGGATCAACATCATTGTTGTTATTAGACAAATAATCATGTAAAAAGTACTGATTAGATTGTATCTGTTCTGTAATTTCACCCAATTGAACTAGTGCCACATACAGCTGCCAAACCCTGTAGCTCAACATTTTTTTTATATAATTGCAGACACTCCCTGTATTACATATAATCAAGACACAGTAATATTTGTGTCTTTAAATGTAAGTACCCACATGTGGTAATTTGTATTAATCAAGGTGAAGGGCTGAGGTGGAAGTTAAAAATAGGATTTCACAGAAGAGCAGTATGTTTGAGCAGAGAAAGCATGTTATAAAGCACCATTGAGCCAACTACAGTGCATGTGAAGAGCCAGCAGAAGATAAGATAATACTGTAAGTCAATGTAAGATATATAGCAGCCTGCTTTTATCCAGTATTTTTTATTTTAGTACACAAAAGAATAAAGTTCTGTGTCTAGATGTATCTGCAATTTGAAAACAGATCCAAATTCAAACATCTAAGTTATAAAAAATACATATACATACAGCAACCAATGATATTCAGAGAAATAGAATACATAAAATACAAGACACTGAGCCTCAAAAATACATTGATGAACTACAAACATAGAAATTGAGGTAGAAAACCACCACATGTTGACTTCGGGATTATGGAAACTGATTTCTGCCAATAAAAGAAAGTAATTTTAATATTATATATATTTCTTAAGTGCAAAAATGTTACTTACTATCTCATAATTTTGTCATAGTAAGTCAAAATTTGATTTAGCACAAGTACTTTATTTTTTCATATATCATTTTTTTTAAATGAATGGGACTAACCAGACATTGTTAATTTAATCCTTTTTTTTAGTGGAGAGAAACAGGACTCAAAATGGATGCTAATGTTGCCTTATGACTGCTGGATGTGTAAAACTGTCTGCTAGCATGTTGTCCATATAAGGTGATCATCAATTTTTTATCTTCAATTGGCTAAAAAAGCAATCAATCATGCTTTATGGATAGATTACTTCATTTTACATTAACACAAAGATAAACATAGTTATGTCAGTATTTTCTTCCTTCTGATATGTTGCCATTATCAAAGAGCCTACTTTATGTGGGATACTGTATTATCTTTAGTTTTACTAACATTAACTGAGGCGTATCAACATAATAAAGACACATGCAACAGTAACCTGTAATTTGTGAAGGTGTGAATGCAGTGAGGTGTAACCCAACCCACCATTGCCCTGCAGTCAATCCGTCAGTGTGGACAAAGCCTCAGATAATATTAGATCGTTTTAGCTTACAAACAAAAGGAGGATTTCTGTGCAATCCCACCACTGAATCATTGATATGCTGTCATCCTATATCCACACCCAGAAACACAGATTGCACGGAAGGGTGGGGATTACAGAAATGGGAAGAGAAAGCTGGCAAACAAATTTAGTTGCTAAAAAAGCTTGAAATGAATTTAAATATTCGTGATCGCCATAAATGAGTGAAGGAGAAGTAGCTGACATGAACTGCAAAGCAAAGGCAAATAGATCAAAGCTAAAACAAAAGGTGAAGAGGATGTCTCATTTCTTGTGAATGTATGTCACCTTTATGTTTCTAGGAGGATGCATGGCCTTTGCTTTAAAGGACAGTGGAGATGGACACAAAATTTCCTTCTTGTCGTCTGGCTTTGGCTGCTGGCTGCCGCTCCACCCAAAGGTAATTATAAATATCAAAGAGAGAAGGAGATAGAGAGGTTAAAATATTAATCTTAATTTATTGGAATGGAATTGCTTTTGCATATAAAGAGGCACACATGAAATAGCACACAGGACCAAGTGAAGTCAATTTTATTTATATAGCACAGATCACAATTTGTCTCAAGGGCCTTTACAGTGTGTACAGCGTATGACCCTCCCTCGAGTTGTATAACTCAACCAAAATAACAAACCAAAACTAAAGCTCCTTACACTTACACGTGATAGTAATGTTATGCTTGCTTGAAATTTAACACCAGTAATCAGTTATGAAACTAATAACTTGGCTAAAAGTCTACAGCTCAAGGGTGGGCTCAGAGGCAGAGCAGGTCATCCACTAATCTGAAGGTTGTTAGTTTGATCCCCTCTCCTCCCACCACATGTCGAAGTATCCTTGAGCAAGATACTGAACACCGAATTGCCCCGATGCTGTGCATCAGTGTGTGAATGTATGAATGAGTTAGTTTCTGTTCGATGGACTTTGCCATCACTGAGTGAATGTGGGTGAAAGGGTGAATGTGGCACGTAGTGTAATAAGTCCATACCATTTACCATTTACCATGTTAGCATCTTTGTGAGGCTGTACATACTTAGGCATAGCTGCTTTGAGCTAAATGCTAATGTCAGCATGATGCTTACTGGTAATGTTCACCAAGGTCTTAGCTAGAAAAGGGATGTCACAACAACTATGGTAACATCTTAAAAACAAAACAAAAACAACTGATGGGGTTTCTTTACACTTATGGATAAAACTGACCATTTTAGAAATGCTAATGTTACTGTTTTCGTGTTGTGAAGTCATCTGATTTACTGGCAGTTAGCATTTTACTGTGATCATAATCAAAAGAAAAAAACAACAACTGACAGTGTCAACCTTTTTATCTTATTTTCTTCAGGGATTGAAAAATCCACCTGTTCCTAACCCTTAATTTAAAAATGTTACGTCTGTAAGAAGCTATTTGTGTTAAGACTTACTAGACACTAATTAAAATGGGTTGGGTTTGCTATTAGCTTAGCACTAAACTTTAACTGTATAGCTCAGTTGAACATTAAAGGTCAGCTACGCTAACTAACACTAATAGCTGAATGAAACCCTTCTTTAAAGTGGCATTTATCAATTAATAAGTAATATTATAAAGCCACAGAGAAGTATCTAGCATCTTGTATCTCACTTTTTCCAACATCATTTTCAGCGGCTCCCAAATCCCACCATACCAAATGACAGACAAAGTTAGCGACGGGCTGGTGCTAGTGGAACATAGCGGAGCAGTTAGCCGCTAAGGAAGCAGGAGTTGGTTGAGACGAAAACAGAGCAACAAGAGAGTGAATATTGGACTTAAATTTACCATATGGCCATAAAAATTACTCTAAATAAATGCTAATGTTTCTCCGTATCTGCTGGACATGTATCTATCTTAGTTTGTGGTTTGTAACTAAGATTAAAAGTGATTTGGCTCTTGGTTTAGCCATTGTGGCTACACTATTTCTCTTCCAAGTACAGAAAACCTGAATTTTAAATCTGCATTGTTTTCATCCATTCCAGCACATGGCTATTTCCTGGGAGACACTAAAGCAGTATTAAATGGCTGTGAGGATCACTGGACCCTGCAGGACAGGGCCGCCATGCCGTTGCTCTTTCAGATGACTGTGTGTGTCGACATCCGCGTTGTCGTCCCCGGAGCCTGGGTGGCCTTCTCTTACAGCTCAGTCCATGCACCCAGACCTGAGCTGGGTCTGGAGGGAGACGATGAGGCGCTGTACGGGTGGCTGCTGAGGGTCCGACACCGATTTCCTCTCCGGCTGTCCCCAACACACTGGCACCGGGTGTGTCTGAGGAGGGACGCACTGCACAACTCCTTTAGCCTGGAGGTAATACTGGGGTGTATTAGTATTCCCAGATCCTTTAAGCAAAAGTAACAATACCGCAATGTAATAATCCCTTAAGTTCAAGTGCATTGGAAATGTTACAGGAGTAAAAGTATATTAGTATTATTAGCAAAATGCACTTAAAGTTTCCAAAGTAAAAGTGCTCACTGCAGGAAAATTGCCTCCTGTGAGTGTTTTAGTATTAAATATCATATTACTGACTGTAGACTTTTGTCCTCAATGGTGAAATGTATTTCCACAGAACTGTTCACATCAGATACCAACAGCACACAGCAACAACATGCAATGACAGACACACACTCAGACCAGTTCAGCGAAGCCTGTAAGGCGGCTCTGGCTGCAGGGATTAGGCTTTTCCCTAGTGAGCCCTTCTGTACCTACCTGTATCTGTGCTGTCCTGTGCTATTGAGGTTGCAATGTGTGCTATGGCCTTGTTGTTAGCAAGGTTGGGTATGGGGAGAATAATTAGACAGGATAGTGGATTATTGTTGTTACAGATGGAGTAATGCGTAGGTAGCATGTTTACTGATGTAGTTGGTCAACATGGAGCAAGTTTCATGCTGTTAGTTTACTCTGTCGCCGTCTATCATATTTTAGAAATGATTTGCACATTGTGTAAATGTACTTACTTTCCACCACACATGCAATGAGGTCTACACAGAACAAATTGGTTTATACAATTAGGTTTATCTTGCAAAAAATAGCACACATTGTGTAAGTGTGTGTAATTAAGCAGAGTAGACATTAAAATAGATACTGTACTGCTCTGATAAAATACCTTCCCCTCTCACTGTTCTGAGCAAGTCAGAGAATGCTAATGCAAATGTTTACAGCTACCACTTTTGTTTCCCAGTTTGCATATGATTTGCTTACCTATAATTATCAAATGTATTACCTTTACATTTTGAGAATTAAACTAGCAAAGCTAATAACAAGAACTTAAAGGATACCATGAGTTCATTACAAGTTTTGTCGTATTTTTGTAGTTTTGGCCATCAAAAACACTGTAAACCCTGAGAGAGCGAGAAACAAATCAGACGGGTTGTAAAGGAGCAGTTCAGTCGAATGATTTTATTGTAATATGGCAGGCAATAATTTAGGCGTCAAACTTTTACTTAATCTACACTCTCTTTACCTGTTTAATGTTTAAATGTTTTAGGTTAATGGGATAATGGTGGCAGAGAGGACAGTCATCGCTCACGCCATCCCCCCCTCCGGCTCCCTGTGGCTGGGCTGTAGTCCCAGAGACCGACCCCCGGGAGCTACGCTCGGAGCAGTGGAGCTGTACCTGTTCCGCATGTGGCCGGACCTGGCTGACCATGGCTTCTGCGAGGACGGCACTGTGATTGGCTGGAACGCTCAGTACTGGGGCCTGACCAGTCCCAAGGCCAGACAGATAGACCACAACCTTCCGTGTGGTGAGACAGACATGCATAAGCTCGTCTTTAGCTCATGGATCCTGATTGTGAATGTTTTATTTTGTTCAAGCTGGGATCTTTTGCATGGATGACTTTCCTAACTAATTATTAATTGCATTTTTCACCGAATGCAAACAGAATTCATGATTCATGAATGTAAAAAGCTAAAATGTAACATTGCATGTTTGCAAGTCATTGAGCATGCATCTTAACCTTTATTACTAGAGTGGTCTCTTCAGCCTATTCTAACATAATTGTAACAGACTATTTAAAAATGAAATTGGTCTTTTTAAATAATACTCATCAGACCATTTTTTTATAGCTCGCGAAAGCTGCAGAGAAACTAAAATACTGGTATAATTTGACATGAAATTCCTCTTGGGTTTGAAGCAGTGATAGTGCATGCAGAACATTCCACTTATTAAATGGTACTTCAGTGCTGTCTTCATCTCTAACACAGTAGTTGTGCATGTTCTTAGAGCATGTTGGATGTTGAATGCTGCATGTCTTCATGTGTCTTGTAGACCACAGACGGTTCAGACGCAGGGTACGGCGTAGCCACAAGAAGGGTGTGTACCTATGTGACACTTACAGTACATGCATGTTGAGTGTTGTTGTTTGAATGTATATGTGTATTTGTAAATGCCTGCATGTGTGTCCATTAGAGAGGACAGAGGATGGGACAGATGGAAGGGAATATACTAATTTGTCCATTGAAGACTGTAAAACCACAAGGAGATTTTAAAATAGATAATAGATCATAAATAAAACAACACACCCTTTGAAATGTTTATTTGGTATTTTATTTGACCTTTATTTAACCAATAGGGCTTCTTAATATCTATATATGCTTTTCAATAAAGTCATAGCCAGAAGTAAGAGTTAAGAGTTTAGTTTACCATAAAGCTACTAATATAATGACACAAATGTACAAAAAGTAAATGTAAAAGAGAAAACGGTAGATTTGAAAGTACACCACACTTCTAATTTGCATGTACTATTTCAGCACATCCAACTCCCAAATGGCCAATCGGTAAGCTTCACATTCAGACAATAATAACCAGTGAAATAAAACTCTATTATCTTATTATCTCAACTTTAGTAATTCCTCCTCGTTGTTACTTGACATCCTTCGTCTTTCTTTCTTTCACCAGCAAGCAGAGCATTACCTTCTTTCCCAGGTGAGTGATGCTGAAATTCCCAAGTCCTTACGATATAATTAATTAATTATCAATTTATTTTAATTAACCCCATTATCTTTTTGCATTGCGTTGTGGGAAAACAGTGTACATTAACAATATACTCAAAAATGAATTGTATATAGTATGTATGCTGCCTGCTTTGAGTGTACTAGAAACAGCTATTAGACACAGGATAACAAGTCATTAGAAACACATTTCATGAACTAGTATATGTTAAATTAATTATGTCAGTAAATGATAAAAAAGTACTACTGTTATAGTTATGTTATAGTTAACATGATAATATGGATGAATTATAACAGAAATTAAAGGATAATTTCACCTTGGTCCTATCTTTATGTTTTGGATAGGATAACATTAAATTAATAATAACAATTAACACATTTTAAGGATAATTTCAATATGTTGGATTTATTCATCATACCTGTCTGTTATCTATTGTAATAAAAGTAATGAAGGGCCCACAAAATGTCAGAATAAAATCCCTCATTGCACCGGAAAAACTGACAAAGTGGACCCAGAAAGTACACTTCTATAGACGTCACAACATTCAGTTAAGCTGACACCTACACATTAAGTAAATATTTGTGTGGGTTGTGGGAGTATAATTAGAGACACTGAATTGCATTGTGTTACCAATGTAAATAAAAAAACAATGCCTAACCTGTTCTTGATGTTTTTATTTTAAAGAAGGTCTATTCTATTCTATTTTAGGGCCCCAATTAGTAAATTGTAGCATCACCCAACTCTGTTCCGATAAAGGTAAGAAATATCCACCTTTTGTCAATCACCGTTTCATTTAGGTATATTTATATAAATATATATTTAAACTTCATCTTTCTTGCAGATGCTTACTTTTGGATGTCTATAAGTGTTGAGGCCAATGGGGGCAATAAGAATGAAGAGGATGTCAAAAAACTGGTGAGGATTAAACTTGTAGCTTTTCTCTCTTAGCTTTACTGTATGTCTCCATGCCTTTCATCGTATTATACTTCATATAGCTTTAAATGCCAACTTGTCACAAACAAGTCTTGCCGGCACACATTAGTCTGAAGAAGCAGTACATTCCAACCCTGTGAGGCACCTGAAATTAATTTTGATTGGGCTAACCCTGTGAAGTTAAGAAACCTGGTCTACATGTCAACAGTGTTCCCTCATTGACCTTTTACAATCTATCCCCCTTTTTAGTTTCCAGTATTAAAACTGTGAATCATGTCCCGGCTCACAGTATATTATGGGTATGTTCAGTTTACTCAAGATGTAGGACAGTAATGGATTTGAGGTTGTAACTGCTGACTTTCATTTTTAAAGGAGTTTAAAGTTTAGATAAGCATTAGAGCTTCTTATATATCAATCATCAGTGGTGGAGAAAATATTCAGATCCTTTACTGAAGTAAAAGTACCAAAATCATGCTGTGTAAAATGCATTGCAAGTAAATATCGGATTAATTGTTATTTCAGTAAAAGTATAATCAGGTAATTGTACTTAAAATATAAGAGTAAGTGAGTAAAAGTACTAAATTTCCACTCAATATTATTGATATAATAACTGTTAGTTATGTAAAGTAACTAGTAACTAAATCTGTCAAATAGTAGTGGAATAATTGTAATAATTGAATTGTTGTGGAAGCAGAAAGTGTCATGAATACTCAAGTAAAGTAAAGTAGTAAAGTACAAGTACCTCATATTTAAAGGTCCAGTGTGTATCATATAAAAAGGATCTATTTGAAATGCAATACAATTTGCATAACCTTCATCAGTGTATAATCACCTCAAAATAAATGACCTTAGAATGAGCCTTTTGTATCTATAGACGCTGTGGGTCACCTTATGGAGACCGCCATGTCAAACAGCCACATTTCTACAGAAGCCCAGAATGGACAAACCAAACCCTGTCTCTAGATAGGGCAATTTGTACTAAGTTACATTCCTCCACTGAGAATCATAGCCCTTTTTCTACACAGTGCCCCAATTTTTAAGATAACGCAGAAGCAGATTGACGCTTTGAAGTTGGAGCGTGGTATCACCATACTTATACATATAAATGAACGTCTGTTACATTAAAGCCTGTGCCGAGTCTGTGGCAACTTTTCCCACACTGCAGCACTAGTATTGATGCGTTTTACATCAACCAGCATTTTAAACCAGAAAATAACTCTGCAATGCTTGTCTATTAGACGCAAGAGGTCACTTGGGTTTATTTTTGTCAGCCAATGGTTGTATATCTCAAATTGGATTCCTTGGATCCCAAAGGGTTTTTTGTTGAGATGAGCAATGTTCAGTCTTGGATTCTAAGTTCGGTCTGTTAGTGGTCAGTACAAATCTAGCCTTATAAAACCACAGTTTTTAAAGTTAATACAGGTTATACTGTATAGTAGTGAGCTATATGGGATATAATGGGAGAAGAGCTCCAATGCAAAAAAGATACTATAGATAATTTATGCTCAGTTCAGGATTTGGTCTTAAAGTTTGATTCGTCAATGTATTGAACACATCTAGGCATCATCAAGAAAGATACCAAGTCTCTGATTGCAAAGGATTTGCAACCAACTATTCGATATAATATGACAAAGCTATTACTGTATATGTAGAATTTTAAGATGTCTAACTGCTGGTGTCTTCAAATCAGTGCAATGAAAGGAGAAATAATAGCTAAAATTAAAACACAGACAACACCAATTTCCCCTTCAGCTGTCTCTTCTTTATATGAACAAAAACCTAAGCCATCGGAAGAATGTAAGATATCATAATATCATCATATCATAAACATATAAACCCTCAACACATTTACGTTAATAAGTTCAAAACATTCTGGTTGGGGATCTGTACATAAAAAGGACATTTCCTGCAAAAGTCAATCTGTTAAAGCTGAAAGTCAGGCCTTCAGACATTGTGTCATTTCCAAAGTGATGGCGCAAAGAGCAAACCCAACAAAACATTTGTCACATTTCTAATACTTAAACTGTATGTGTTTAGCTCCCATCACCTCCCACACAGTATCAGAATCTGTCTGCCTCTGTCTCTCCATCTGTCACTCAGGTGTCAAATGCGTTTGGTTGCCAAGGTGACAGCAAGCCTGCAAAACCAAATTTATGTCAGGTCAGTCTGTCCCAGAAACAGGCAACACCCTTTCACTTTTCAGAATAAAATCTCTCCTACAATGCAGGCTAATGACTGCAACTTATGTCTCTCTTTGCAGGTAGTACAGGTGAACTGCAAGGCAAAAAGTCACATAAGGTAACAGCACGTCAGTAGGTGTTTTGTGTAACTTCTACATCAGATTGCACCTCCTCACAGTGGTGGGAATACTTTTGTTTCCAGCAAAACAACCTGTGATGTGGTGTTGCAGCTCAGCCACGCCATCTCAGCGTGTAAACTGCAGCATGCTGGAGTCTCTGCACTGCAGCAAGCTGGAGATGAACAAATACAAGCGAGAATCATAGGAGAGGTGGAGAGAGTCGGTGAGCATGTGCCTACCTCATGATCTCCACACAAACACAAAAACACACTACTAAGGACCCAATTAGCCATTTTTTGAGCCTATACATTACATGTATATCCACATTAAAAGAGTTTTACATATAGAAAAAATATATATATTTTGTGTGTTTCTCCACTAATCAGCCTGCATTTATAACCATTAGTGATGTAAGGAACTGCATCAGGAAAATATTTTATTAAAATGTGTTTAGTATTAGTTTGTGAATCAAAAGACTGTCAATTTGAAGCGACACCATGTTATACATGTGTACTTTAGTTCACATTTGGATCATGAACTTTGTATTTAGGACACACAGTTATACGTGCAAACTACTGACAGTATTTTGCAAACATGCAAAATGCACCCATGCTTAAATTATGGGAACACATACAAATACAGACTTACCTGTGTATACATGCAAAACCTCAACAGGAATACTCACGCATTGTTCATTGACACACAAACATTCATCAAGTTGAAATTTGTGGGTAACTTTAAAAAATCCTCTCATTGTTAATGCCTAAAAAAGAAGGAAACAGTTTTATTTTAAATTTCTTTACCAAATCCGCATCTCAACCCTCACATGGTTCTTGAAAACAGGCCAGAATATCCTCACTTCCCAGAAACATCCTCACTCTCAAGATCTAAAACCCAAAAAAGCACAAACAAAGTATAATTAGCTTACTCATGTTGATTTTGTTCACATAAGGACGAGATCTTTGTGAGGGTGTGGTGCCCTCCGATGGCAGCTTTGTGAGGTGTACATCCACATCTTCCCTGGATAATATCTGTCAGGGAAATAAGCACTTAGAGCTTACATGGTGAGCAATACCTTTGTTTTTCTGTACACACTGAGCATATATGTGTACACTCTGTGCGCACTCTGTATCTTATCAGTGTTTATCCATTAGCTCCCTTATAGGACCAAATTCCAACCCAGTTCCACAGCAGAATACAGAGTCCTGCAGCGGTGAGCATCAAAAACAGAGACCCATTATTATATCCACCAGAATTCACTGTTGCTTCCGCTGCTGTAACCATGTTTGTCTGTGCCTCAGGGAAAGCGCCTCGCTTTTGTGACTGCACTGCTTTCTGTAATTCTTCAAGTAAGAAAATATTGCCGTCCTGCCTGTCTGCATACGTTTGCACTGCAACAGCAAGCAAAAATTATTTGTGTATATAAATGTGCTCATTTACCCCTCCACACACAAGTCAAGTACTGAATGGGACGTTATACACACTTTTAATGAATAGTTTGACATTCTGGCTTTCTCTCCAAGAGTTAGATGATAAGATCAATACAAAACTCATAAGAGTGGTACCGATCTTATCTAACTCTCTGCAAGAAAGCATAATAATGTTTTTCCCAAAATATTGAGCTATTCCTTTAACACAAACATACATCTCAGAAGGTAGCTGTTAAAATGATGTCCTAAACCACCCCTGGCAACTTTTACTTTGCTCTTTTTTCTCTTCAGGCCAGTTTTTTGCCATAAGAATCAATATTAACAGTGCTTCTGTTAATGTCAACCTCCTAAGATCAATGGTATGTGCAGCACATTATGACTGAACTATATTTCTTGTTGTATACATCCTATGTACTGACTTTCTAAACTTATTTGACAGTTGTCAAGACTAAGTGTAGCCAAGGTGTGTATGTCTGGGTAAGTTTCACTTCCAGTTCATACATGTAGACCATGTCAAAGTTTATAATCAGCTTGTTACTACTGTAGTACTGTTTTTAATTGCCAGTCTCTGTGTTTAAGCTGCAATGTGAGTAGAAAAAGTATCATAGTAACCCAGTTGAACGTTTACTCAACTAAGCTCAACAATGAATTTACTGGAACAGTTTACCTAAATACTCAATATCAGAGGGGTTTAGTGGTCATAATTCACTCATGTGGACAATTTGTTGTTTCCAGGTCAATGTGCCAAGATATTGCAAAGTACTACCAGGTAAATCTTTCAGCAGAAAACAGTCTGGTACAAACTCCAAACCTTATAAAATCACATTGATCTAGAGATGTTAATCATGCTTCATATATTATTTCTCATTTTCTTTATCCAGGGTGCTCATCTGGAATGCCATGGGACACAACAGAGGTAGTTTCTTTGCGTTGTCTATTAAGTGCACATGAGCTTATCTGCAAAGAAACTATGCTGAAACAGATATTACAGGCTTTCCTTTAAATTCCTGGGCCCCTTAGGAAAGAGGAAGTAGAAGGTCACATATGAAAGACATTTGGCACACTGTCGAGGAAAATCATAACATTTCAATAACTTCAGGAATGGTAATGCATTTGATGATAAATACCAGTATCTGAGCATGTTTTTTTTTAACTTCTTTGCTGCTGGTCTCTAGGTTGTACAGCTGCATGGTGATACTGGAGATGTCTGGACCTGTCAGTAATTGCTACCTGAGTAAACTTCTGCAGGAACTCATTGACAGCAACACTGGCATAGGAAACGAAAAGCCACTTACGCGCATGGGTTAGTTTGCAGCTTAATGTTTTTCCTATTATGAAACTTGTATCTTATATAATTAGTTATTGTGTAACTGTAGTATTGACAGTACTCTGTGTGTCCTCAGTGGTTTGTGGTCATCCTGGTCTGCCTGTCCACACACTGTTAACATCTAATCTGACCTGGGTTGGCAGTGATCTGCTGACCTCTGATGTGTGCAAACCTGACCCCACTCTGCTTAAATGGTAACTAAAAACATTTAAATGTAATGTTTTTCTTGGGTTTAAAGTCAAATCAGTCATAAAGTTGTTTGTCCAGAGATATATTTAGATGCTGGAGCCTCTTTGTGTTTGTTGTATGCATTTCCACAACCAGGGATGTTTCTGATGATCTTTATAGTCACTCTGGGAAATTCAAGAGCTCACATATTTTATAGATAAGTCAGGCTGAAGGAAAATGTAAATATGGTTCAACAACTTCATATAACATGTTTTGCTGTCATTTATTTTTAGAGTTATACAATATTTGGTTGTGTGTCCTTTTTTTAGTGAGGCAAATGAGACGCTTGCTGTACTTCTGACTGACAGCTGCCCTCTCACAACCCAGCAGAGCATAACGCAGCCTTCCACTCAGACCAGAACTCCTGAAGCATCACCACCATTTGTGACCAACACAACTGGGAAAACATACACAACAGCTGAAAATACTGCAGCACTTGAACGGACAAACGCAACACAAGGGACAGCTCAGCCTAACACAACCACTCCACTCGCAACAATTAACAGTACACAGTCCTCGACAGCACAACCTGTCCTCCAAACCAGCCTACAAAACAAGACTGTGACTCTATCTAACAGTATAACAATACAGAACACAACATCGTTGACGCCCACTGAAGGTACACAACTGCAAAAGACAACCACAGCACACCAAAACACACCAGAAGTTATAACATTATCCTCTGTCAACTCAACATTACAAAGCACTCCAGCTGTTCATACTGATTCAACACTTAACACAATTACACTGTCTCCTAATCACACCACAGTGTATAATGTAACTACAGACAACAACAGGTACCTACACAACGGTACAATTGCAACAAGTAACCCAACCATTAGCACATTTACAACTTCTCCCAAACATACAGTTACACCTTCTCCCAATCACAAAACAGAACACAATGTAACTACAGTCACCACAAATTACACAACAGCGTCTAGCAATTACACAACAGAGTACAGTATAACTACAGCAGACGACAACCGGAACCTACACAATGATACAATTGCAACAAGTAACCCAACCATTAGCACATTTACAACTTCTCCCAATCACACAGCAGAGTACAGTATAACTACAGCAGAGGACAATCGGAACCTACACAATGATACGATTGCAACAAGTAACCAACCATTAGCACATTTACACTTCTCCCAAACATACAAATTACACTTTCTCCCAAACTACAATTCAGCTTCTCCCAATCACAAAACAGAACACAG